CTTCCCCTCCCACCAGTCACAGTGCTGCCAGCAGCTCTTGGGGCTGCGATGTATGGCCATGGGGGGCTGTGGCTTAGAGGGAATGTTTGTGAAGGGTCCTAGTTCCTGTTTGTGCTGCCCAGGCTGTGTCTGAGCTGTGCTGCTGCAGCAAGGTGGGCCCAGCATCCCCTGTGCTGCAGGTGACAGCCACATGCTCCTGTTCTGGCTGTGGCTGGGATCATGGTGGCCAGCAGATGGGGGGACACCCTTATCCCTCTGCAGGACTAGGCAGGCGATGTGAGGGGGTAGAGCTGCTCCTGTGCCAGGGGTGGGTGCTGGGAAGGCAGCAGAGATGTCCAGTGAGGTGGGGGCTCTGTCTGCTGAGGGCATGGAGACTCACGGTCCCTCCAGAGTGCCTCTCCCCTGCATCTACATCCTGTTTGTCCCTTTTGGGGTCTGGTTGTGCCCTTGTGTCAGTAGGTGCTGCTCTATTCCAGCCCTCGGGCATCACTCTGCAGACCTGCTCTTAGGGACAAGACACTTGATGCCCTCTCGCACCAGCCCCAGGCCACCAGCTCTGTCTCACCACATTTAACCCCCTCACTGATGCCACCCTAAAGCCGTTTGATGGGAACAGAGGCTGCAAAGCCCAGTGCAAATCTGTGTAGTGGGCCAGCAGAAATTCAGGGCTCCCTCAACCACCCCCAGTTCCCACCACTGTGCCCAGGGGTTGCAGGGTGGCTGCATGCTGCTGCCCTGCAAGGGCAAGGAGACACTCAGCCCAGCATAAGCTTAAAAAAATAGGCATTTTTATTTCAATGTAACTAGAGAATTACAACCCAGGAGAGGAGAGGATTACTCACATTTATCGACAGGCTTATTAGATTACTGCCTAAATAGCTGTGCTTTAGCAGCGCGTTTGTCCGCCTCAAGGAGAAGCGGTGAAGGAGGGTGGTGCATCCGAGACCTCATCGTCCTTGGTGGCATGAGGAGCTCTGAGCAATGCAGTCAGGCGCTGTATCGCATCACCTAATCCTGCCGTGACTATTTACAGCTTCTTGGGAAGCAAAAGCTTGTGATGTTTGCTTGGCTGCATGGTCAGGGGCTGAGCTGCATCTCTCTCCTGCGTGGCCACCCCTGGGAAGGGGGTGCTTAACCCCCTTGTGACAGGGTCATGCTCTCCTCAGCTCCCAGGCATGGTATATTGATGGGATGGCAGGGGCTGGAAGAGGATGGTGGCATTGCCACCCCCAGGGGCCCTGGCATGAGCAAGGGCAGTGCTGCACTCATCATGGCTATTCTTTGGTGTGGGGGTCTGTGGCCGTGGCACTGTGTTTGGTCTTATGCCCAGGGACGTGGCAGACCACCAGCCTCCGTGTCAGCATTAGGGAGCTGGGGTGCCCACCTGAAGTGGGGGTTTCTCAGGCACGCTGGATTCACCAGCATTGCCCTTATGCTAACAGGGCCATTGCCTTGCTCACGCAAGGAGCTCTTGCCGGGCACTGGTATGCCCCAGCCCCAAACCCACCAGAAGCTCATGGCTGAAGCAGTTGTGGGTGATGCTGGTCACCCTTGTGGGTCGCAGTCAAGCCAGGAATTCAGGGTGTCCAATGATCCTGCAGCAATGGAGGAGAAGAGCTCCTGGAATGCCTCAGTGTTGACGAGGGCACTCGGCTCTGCTCCGCTAGGACACAATGGGGGTGTCTGAAAAGACAGAGCTGATGGACTCTGAGTCTGACTTGAGCTGCAGGACCTTGGGGTGCTTGGGGTCAGGGAAGTCCTCGCCGAGGGCCAGGCGGATCTTGCCATTCTGTGTGTCCCTGATGGGCTCGAGGAACACCACGTGCTTGTTGGCACTGACCTTGCGGTTGGGCCCATCGGTGGCGGGGGGAGTGGTGCTGAGGATGGAGGACTGGGCGCTGCACTCCTGCGGAGGGCTGGGAGGAGCTGGCTTCTTGCAGCAGTTCAGGCAGCGGCAGGGCGTGAGGTACAAGTAGATGAGCACCAGCACCAGGCTCACGATGCAGCCCAGCAGGGTTGTGAGCCCGGTGCTAAAGGTCTCCCCATCCAGCTTGGGGTAGTGGACCGTCACGTTGACCTCACACAGCCTGCTGAAGTTGTGGGGGCTGTTGATGGCCAAGCCTACGTAGACCCCTGAGTGCCAGGGCTTGGCCGCTGCGATCTTCAGGCTGCCGTTGTGGTAGACTTCCAAGGAGCGGTTGCTGTTCCCTGGGTGTTTGATGGGCTCGTGGTGTGGGGAGATCCACATGTAGGTGGTGGCTGCAGCCGGCAGGCTGGTGTTGCAGGTGAGCAGAAGGGTCTGGCCCACCATCACAGGGAAGGGCAAGGGGTGCACGCCTTCAGGGCCCGTCGAGCAGTTCTCAAACATGTGGTTGTATTTGAGGAACTTGATCAGGGACCGGGGCACGTTGTCGGACACCCTGCAGGTATGTTCCTCGAAAAAATCCTTCACAGAGCTGAAACCTCGCTGCTTCCAGTGCTGGAGCATCAGGTAGAGCGGGCAGCTGCACCTGATGGGGTTGTTGTGCAGGTACAAACCGTTCCTGATGTTTTCGGGCAGAGCGGCCAGCTGCTCCACAGGGATGCTGCTCAGGCTGTTGGAGGAGAGGTCCAACGTGCGGAGGCTGTAGTTTCCCAGCCCCTGCACCGAGTGGAAGGGGAAGGTGGTGAGGTTGTTCCAGCTCAGGTAGACTTTCCGCAGGCCGCTCAGCTTAGCAAAGGCATTTTCATCCACGCGAGTGATGTGGTTGTTGTAGAGCAGCAGCTCCTCCAGGCTCACCAGCATGTCAAAGTAGTGTGTCTCCACAGCGTGCAGGTGGTTGGAGGACATGTCGAGGTGCCGCAGGTAGGAGGCATTGTGGAAAGCCTGCAGAGACAGGTCCTTAATCCGGTTGTGACTGATGTGGAGGGCCTCAAGGTGTGGGACGGCGGCCAGCCAGCGGTCGTGGAGCTGGGTGAGGGCATTGTGGCTGAGGTCCAGGGTGGTAGCGGTGGGTGGCAGCGCATGGGGGACATGCTGCAGCATCCGCCGGCTGCAGCTCAGCACGTCAGAGGTGCAGATGCAGGTACTGGGGCAGCTGCGGGGCAGTGGGGAGGCGTGGGGAGCATGGCCATGGGCACACAGCTGGAGCAGCAGCAGAAGCTTCACCACCCATGGCCAGAGCTGGTCTGCGGGTGCTCGTGGGGACATTGTGCCAGGCAGGAGACTCTGTGCAGCCCGGCAGCACAGCCAGGCTTGGTAAGACAAGAGGAAATGTGCCCCAGTCCTCCCCGGTCTACCCCTGTGTTGCCCCGGCTGGGGGCTCTACCAAGCATCCATAGATGCCGCTTTGCACCCTGTAGAGGAGGATCCCGTTTCCAGCTGTGGGGCTTGATAAGAGTTAAAGGGTGGCATCTCCCTGCCCAGTGAAGCTGCCTCGTACCTGTGCTCCAGCTGCCCGTGGGCTGTCCAGCACTGAGGTGCGGGGGGAGCCGGTGCCCGGCATCAGGGGTTCAGACGCTCTGCTGCTTCAGCGCTGCTTCGGGGTGAGCGAACGCCGCGCTGCTTCCTGCAGCCCTGTGTCCCTGGAGCGCCAGGTTACCCGGGCTCAGTGCCGCCGCGGCACATCCCCAGCTCCGGCCGCCGGTGAGGGTGAGCCCGGTCCCCGGTCCGGCACCGGCTCCCTCCCGGGAGCTGGGCTCGCAGCAGGAGCGCGGTCCCGCTCCTGCCCCTATTTACGCGCTGGCGTGTGGGCTGGGCGGGATCCCATTGGTCCCAGCACGGGGAGTGGTGGCTGCAGTGGTGGCCATGGTCCACCCTTGCTGTCCTGCGAGCGGGCAGGGTGATGTGCAGCCACCACCAGCCCTGCGCGGTTCCTTGTCCCCAGGGGTGCTCAGGGCCACTTTGCCGACCCTCCAGCCCCATTGGTGCAGAGCTGCTGCCCCTCTGCCTGGAGAATGGCAACCTGGACCGGCTGTAATCCCTAAGGCAGCCGTGGCGGCTGCTTCGTGACTGCCCAGCCTCGGGGAGGACGCTGGAGTAAATCCACCCCATTGTCACCTCTGGGAGCCCCTCTTGTCCAGTCCTGCCCCCAGGCTGGCAGCAGAGATGGAGGTCATCGAACACACGCTTACACCCACTGCTTAGCACCCAGTTGTGGTCCTTCCTGCTGCTCTCATCCTGCACAGGCTGGCAGGGACCCCCCCACCAGCACTCCCAGGCGTGGGGTGAGCCCCATAGCAGAGGGTGAGGCCATGGCAAGGAAGGGGTGGTCACAGGGTGAAGGACATGCAGGAATGTCATTATCCAGAGCCTGGGTGCGTTAGTGAGGAGCGGAAAACAGGGCTGGGGAATTGCTTTCCATTAGGGCAGCAAAAAGCTAATTTGGCGGCTGCGGCTGCCTGCGCATCAAGGGGCTGTTAACTCCCTGTGCCCCGGGCCAGGCTCAGCCTCTGCCACTGCCTTCTCCCGTGCATTGCCTCCTGCCTCCGTATCTGTGCTTGCCCAATGGAGCCAGCTCTGCTTCTTCACCAGGGCAGTGAACAAGCTGCAGCACCAGTGCGTGATGGAAATACTCACTAAGGTGACCTTCATCTGTCCTGCTGTCCCCACTGATGCTGAAGCCAAGGAGAGCCATGACTGCTCCTTCCTGCCCTGTGGGGGCACACACTTGGTGCAGAGGCTGGGGGAGCACAGCACCCAGCATGAGGCTGCTGCGTGGCAGCTCTCCCTTCACCCTTGTGCTTCAAAGCGAGGGCAGTGCTGGCTGCTTCAGCTGCCCTGCAGCTCCAGCCGGGCACTGGTGCATGAGGGCTGCAGCCCCAGCAAGTGCTGATGCACCGTATCGATCCCTGGAGCCTCTGTGCAGAGATGATGGAGGAGGAGGAGGATGGCTGCTGCCCTTCAGCTGCATTTGAGCCTGTACTGATGATGCAGGGAATGGGGGGGTGTCTCTGGGTGGTGGTTTGTGATCACAGGAGGGCTGTTCCTAGGGCAGAAGCCTGACTGTGTCCCTCCACAGGGTCGAGCGTGCAACGGCGGTGCTGCTGGCGGACCCCTGCTTCCAGCTGCGCTCCATCCAGTACCTGCTGGGCCACGCTGAGCCCTCAGCCCTGGCAGCCACCGCCCCGGCCCCTGAAAAGCGTCATTTCTCCCTGCACACCTGTAAGTGCTGGCCCTGCGCTGTGCTCGCCGCTGCAGCCACGGCTGCGATGGGCAGAGCAGGGCTGCCCCTGTGACGTGTCCCAGTCCCCTTCCTTAGCACTGGGGACAGGAGACCATGGCCCCCTTGCTGTTCCCCAGCAGTGGCCCTTGGATGGGGTTGTGTCCAGTGCCTGCTTTCAGCAGTGCTGTCCCTTCACAGTGCCCAGTGTCCATCTTGCTGCCCCCAGCATGGGGATCCCTGTCACCAGCACCAGGCTCCCTGCCCTGGCTGGGCCCCAAGAGCACTCGCAGCCACTCATGCATTGCCCAGCCACCTCGGGACACATACATCTGTGTCACATTCACACCACGCACACCCAGTTTGTCCCCACAGACACAGATTACATCAGTACTGAGGAGCTGGTGAAGGTGGACAAGATGCTGAACCACCTGAGCGAGGAGTCCAAGCAGGCAGCTGCCACCACACTGGTGAGTGCCCCAGCCCGCTCCCCATGCTCAGCAGCGGCCCTGGCTCCTGGCAGAGCTGCCCTGGGATGCAGGGTTTTTGCTGCTACTGTTAACTGGTGCCTCCCACAACAGCCCACCAGTGAGGAAGACCTCTGCCCCATCTGCTACGCACACCCCATCTCAGCCATCTTCAGACCCTGTTCCCACAAGTCTTGCAAGTGAGTAGCTTCCATGTGTGACCCTAACACCAGGGTGACTGCCAGCACCTGCCCCCTCCTCCCGCCCTTCATGCTGTGCTGGGGGAGCTCACACTGTCCTCCTCTGTCCCAGAGCCTGCATCAACCAGCACCTGATGAACAACAAGGACTGCTTCTTCTGCAAGGCCACCATTACAGGGGTGGACGACTTTACCAAGCCAGCCAGCTCCTAGAGCCCAGCCCCACACCATGGGTTCCCCGCCGCACGCCAGCTCCTCCCCAGATACTCATGCTGCCCAGAGCAGGGGGGCTGCACTGTGGGGCTCGGGGCTGCAGGGAGAGAGAAGCTGGTGGTGGGGGTGCAGCATCCCACTGCTGAGCGTCTGGACCATAGCAGCCCCCTTGCCCCATGGGCCGTTCTCAGGGAGGGGAGCCCAAGGCCTCAGCTCTGCGGCAGCACTGGGAACACGCGGCAGTCCCAGGCCGGGGCAGGGGGCCGGGCTGGGTGTTCAGGCTGTTACCTTGCCCATGGCTGGGGCCTGATTTCATGAAATGCAGCATTAAATTATTCTTCCTTACGCAGTGCCTTGAGACACGGGGAGGGGGAGCCCGGCCGGTGCTCAGGCCACGCTCCGTAGATGGAAATATAAATATTTAATCCAAGCCATGGGCACAGAGCCCAGTGGGGCTGCTACATAATGATGCGTGGCTCTGGCACCGACTCAGAAATGGACTTGTGTGGCAGCACGTTGGCCCCGTTGAGGTAGAGCTCGTCGTTGACGATGACATCCTCACCCAGCACCGTCACGTTCTCCATGCGCACCTGCCCCAGAGAAGCCCCGTCACGCTCAGGTCTTGGTGCTGCATTCCTGCTCCAGCCCACAGGCACCGGTGCATCCCTCCAGCCCTCCTGAGGGCAGCAGGAGCGCCAAGAGCTGAGCCCTGGCCTCCCACAGGGGCACCCACGTTCTCACCCATTGCCCCACAGAGCAGCTCCAGCCGACGATGCAGGACTCCAGCCAGGAGTGGGAGCGAATGCGGGCCCCCTCCAGCACGGTGCAGCGCTTGATGCGCACCCCATCCTCCACCACCACACCAGCCCCGATCGTCACATTGGGGCCGATGACGCAGTTTGCCCCAATCTTGGCGCTGGGGTCCTGGAAGGAGGAGCGGCTGTGCCCGGGCCGGGAGGGCAGAGCTCTCAACCAGAGCTGTCAGCATGGCCCACACCACCCAGACACTGCGTGGACAGCAGCCACAGCTCGAGGACAGCAGCAAGGGCAGTGGTGGAAGACACAGAGAGTCCATGATGTGTGCTAAGGGGCAGCGTGGTGGGGGCTGGCACTTACCACCAGCACATTCCCTACAACACCAGGCCCTGAGTGCAGCTTCTCGGGGTGCTGAGCCCGCAGCGCCTGCAGGTACATGCACATGCCTGTAAGGAAGTCCTTTGGCTGCCCAATGTCCATCCAGAAGCCTGTGGGAACAGGGCCATTGTAACAGCCACCAGCACAACAGTGACAGTGCAGGTAAGACCTCCCCATGCTGCCTACAGCGTGTGCAGCTCCTTACCCTGCAGCTCCATGGCGTAGAGCTGCCCTTCCTGTGCCATGGCAGGGAAGATCTCCTTCTCGATGGAGGTGGGGCGCAGCTGCAAGGACAGGGCGCAGGGCTGAGCCGGGGGCCTGGACCCCAGCCTGGCCCAGCCCAGCATCCCAGCCTGTACCTGGATGCGCTGTAGGATGCCGGGGCTGAAGATGTAGAGCCCAGCATTGATCTTGTTGGACACGAAGACGCGCGGCTTCTCCACAAAGCGGCAGATGCGGCCGGTGCCGGGCTCACTCACCACCACACCGTACTTGGCCGGCTCCTCCACGCGGGTCACCGCAAGTGAGCCCTCACCTCCGTGATGCCGATGGAACTGGGCCAGTGCCGCAAAGGGGAACTCGCAGATCACGTCGCTGTTGAGGACAAAGAAGGGCTCCCCGTCCTCGGCCAGCAGGTCCCGCGCCAGTGCCAGCGGCCCCGCTGCCCGGCCACCAGTGACGCCACAGGGACAGGTTGAGCCCAGTGCCTGGCCTCACCTGTGCCCATCCCAGCTCCCCAGTGCCCCAAGATCCTCACTCAGTCCCACTGTCCCTGGGCCTTCCTGTACCTCTGCTGACACCCGTCGTCCCCCTCATCCTGTCCATGCCCATCCTGGTGTACCCCTCACCCTGTCTATGCCCATCCTGGTGTACCCCTCACCCTGTCTATGCCCATCCTGGTGTACCCCTCACCCTGTCCATGCCCATCCTGGTGTACCTCTCACCCTTGTCCTGCCTATGCCCACCCTGGTGTATCCCTTGCCATGTCCCAAGTCCTCACAGCCCTACCCATCTGTACCGTCCCTGCTCTCAGCATCCCCCAGCCCTACCCACATCCGGACTGCTGTCCCTAGTGCCCCCTCCTCCGGTTGTCCCCCTGCCAACCTCCCAATGTCCACTTCGGTCTGGTCCCCCGCAGCCCACGCTGCTGTCCCCGGACTTCCTCTGTCCTGCCTGTGCCACCCCAAGCCCCAGCGCCTCCAGCCCCGTCAGCTGCCCGCACCCTACCTGTGCCCAGCGGCTCCTTCTCGTGGGACAGGGAGATGCGGATGCCGAGCTGCGGGCACAGTGTGAGCGGGGGGTGCGCGGCGGGTGCCGCGGGTCGGGACGGGGGATGCTGGGGGCCCTTACCCGCTGCTCCTGCTCCCGCATGGCGGCTCCCAGCGCCTCCGACATGTAGCTCACGGCCAGCACCACATGGGTGACGCCCGCCTGGCGCAGGGCCTCCAGCTGGTGCAGCAGCACCGCCTTGTTGCAGAACTCCACCAGCGGCTTCGGCCGGCTCAGGGTCAGCGGCCGCAGCCGCGTCCCGAAGCCCCCCACCAGGATCAGCGCCCGCATCGCCCCGCGCCACGTCAGCACCGCGCGCCGCCGCGTCACCGGCACGCCCTCCTCCCCCCGCCCTGCCCCGGGTTCCACGGCCCGCCCCGCCCCGCGCCGCCAATCACTGCCCGCCCCGGGTCCTAGCGCCCGCCCCTGCTGAGCACCCGCCCCTACTGACGGCCCGCCCCGGGTCCTAGCGCCCGCGCCGCCAATCACTGCCCGCCCCGGGTCCTAGCGCCCGCCCCGTCAATCACTGCCCGCCCCGGGTCCTAGCGCCCGCGCCGCCAATCACTGCCCGCCCCGGGTCCTAGCGCCCGCCCCGCCAATCACTGCCCGCCCCGGGTCCTAGCGCCCGCCCCGTCAATCACTGCCCGCCCCGGGTCCTACCGCCCGCAGAGAAGCGGGAAGGGCTCAGCCACCCCCTGGTCCTGCCCCAGCCCAGCCCCCAGGCACAGGCGGGCACGGCACACCACGGACAAAAACAGATCCTTTAATGGTTTTTGGTTCTCTGTGAAGCACAAACGGGGTGATTATTCATGTAAAAACAAACAGGGTTGAGGCTATGTACAAGCTGTGCAGTCCCACTGCCGTGGTCCAAAGGGGAGAGGGGCAGGCAGGGCCCCGGCCCTCACACCGCACCCTGGCCAAGCGAGGACAGGGAAGCCGGGGGAGAGGCTGAGATGCCTCCCAGGAAGGGGCCTGCACCTGCCCAAGCACAGCCCACAAGGGACAAGGGCATGCACAGGGTGGGCTGCGATGGGCAACACGGCTGTTGGGAGGTACCCAAGGCACCCACAACTATAGCCCTCAACACCCCTCGCTCTGTCCAGCCACCCATGCTCCCCAACATTCCCATGGGCCCTGCCTGGTGCAGCAGTGACTCGCAGAAGCAATGAAGTTACCCAGCACAGGGCAGTGTGGTGTGAATAAAGGTCCTCAGCCAGAGGGGAGCAGTGGCTTAGGAGACAGGCAGGGGTTCAGTCCAGGACAGAGCTGGAACTTCCCTTGCCCCTTCCACACAGTGCCACAGGCCTGTGCCTGCTGTCACTAGCCAAGCACTGACAATTCCCAAGCAGACTGTGCACACACCAAGTCAGGACACATGCGACATGCGAGCATTCCCTTAACAAGCTTTCCTGAAGTGTAAAAACAAACCTCACCAGTACCCAGGCGGCCTCTCCAGCAGCCAGGGTAATGGGAACAAACACCATGGAACAAGTCAGTGACACTGGGGAGGGAGCCTGGGGGTCCCAGCACAGGAACATGGGGTGGGAGGTGATGCAGAGCAAGGTATGGTTTGGTACCACCAGGCCACAGTACCAAACATTAATGCCCTCATCAAGGGAGGCAGTGGGTAACACACGGGCTCAGGGAGGGAACCGAGGCAGCAGCGCACACCCCGGCTGGCTGCTTCACCTACACACTGGTGGTTTATTCCGGGGAAGACTGACCCCGTGAAGCAAAGCTAAACAGTCACGCCATAGCACTGGCTGCTCAGCCAGGTGCCCCCTCACCTGCCCCCCTTGAGCCCCTTAGGGAGGAGGAAGGGGATCAGCCCTAACCGTCAGCCTTCCCTTCCATCATCCCCATGCATGGACCAGCCAGAAGGGCTGGAGGGGAAGAGGGCAGCCTGGGGCTGGAGGGACACACACACATAGGACCTGTGGGACCAACATTACAGGAGAGGAAGGGTTGAAATGGTCCGAAATGCCCAGCTGCACAGCTAGGGTCACGTTAACTGCTACAGATACTATTGCTAGCCCAGGAGCCGAGTTCTTGCTTGGTCAGTGGTCCAGGGCAGAGTTACTCTTACCAAGCCCTGTGCCTGCCCCAGGCTTAAGCACAACTGCAGGTGTGCAGCATTCCCTCCCGGCCACAGCTCTGCCAGGGGTTGCATTTGGTCACTTTATTTCCATGTTTGGGTTGGTTACTCACAGTGCCCAAACAGCAGAAAAAGGCAGCATCAAAAGCAAAGCCCCCTCAGCAAAACCCAGGGCAGAGCTCACACCACCAAATGCATGGACCAGCACCTGTGCTGCTCACCATCAGCCCCACAGACACTGCCAACTTCCAAGTAACTCGGGAGAATTTCAAAGGGAAGGCTCTCCCAGGGGCTCCTGAGGTAGGAGGCTCCTCATGCCACAGCTCCAGCCCCCCTGGAGAGCCCAGGCTCTCCTGCTTTCTCTTCCCTATGTCCAGGTCCTCCCTCCAGACTGCATACACAGAGAGTGAAGAGCCAGGACACCCAACACCCAGCAGGCATCTACAGAGCCTCCTCTAGAAGGCAGAGCTAGTGTGGTTGGAAGAATCTGGTCAGCATGAGGAGCTCTTCCATCCTGCTTCCCTCAGCTCTTCTATCCAAGTACATTTAAAAACAATGGAGCAATACAATTGTTTAAAACCCAAGTTGACTGATTTTTTCCTGTGGTAGTAGGTGGCTGTGTCTGCTCCTGCCACCATGACAAGATTAAGAGGCTGTGGCTCAGGGCTACTGGTTTTCCTCACGCATCTGTTCCATGATGTTGATGAGGCTTTCCAGCCCGAACATGTAACCCATGTCGGGTCCATCATGCACCGTGGGGTCATCACGAAAGCCTTTGAACGTGCTATGTGCAAAGTCAATCATACGCACATCCACCTTGGGCTGGGCCGAGGAGCTGGGCTCTGTG